ATTTTGTTACCAAGGATACCATTAACATTCCTAAACTTCACTTCAGGGCGGTAGATATCCAGCTCCCAGAACTTCCAGCTCCAGGTTTGTTTTTGTGTTTGTTGGTAATTCCATCTGTTCGTGCTTCCTTCAAGGACTCACCTGATCTTCTTCTTCTACTTCTTCTTCTTCTTCTTTTGTCATTTCACTGATACCAGGTTGTAGCCCAGCGCTAGATGATGATGATGATGATGATAGAGACGAGTGCAAAAAGACCACGCTACTTGACGCGTGAGACAAAGATTTCTTGAAACTAATGGCTAACAGCGGCTTCCATGGGTATTGTGAGATCTAGGTATGACCAGTCCCTGAACGTGAGCCCGGGTCCACGTCGGTTGCCTTTAGTTTGTCTTACTGTATGGACATGTTGTGCGAGTCCAGTGGCTGAATGAACTGTGTTTTAACAAGGTGTTTAATACCGTTTTTGGTAAATTGTGAGATAGACTTAGCAATTCTGTCAGTAATTGTCTAGAATGTGTTGTCAGCCAGGTGTTGTGGGGTCGGCAATGTTGCGGCTATGGGACACACGGTTGAGGTATCCCCGGAGAAAAAATCCAGACAATACTCCACACTTCAGGTAAATTGGACCTATATTTATAAACCAGTCGGCACTCTGCTGGTGATGTGGTCAACATCTCGCCAGCCATCTTTACTTCCTACGATTTTACCTAGTAGCCATTTAAAGCCGGGTCAACCTGGAAGCCAAAATCATTTTTTAAAAAAAACCTGCTTCGTTCAGATTTGAACCCACAACTTTCAGATCCGCAGATGAGCATGTAGCTGCTACACCACAGTTGCTCCGCTGGCATGGAAAACAAAAAATATGATTCTTGTGTGGAAACAGTTACAAGATTTCTTCTTTTTCTTCTTTTTCTTTGTGTCCGGTTTCGTATGCTCAGATCAGACCATCAGCTGGGTTGTCATTATGAACTCGCATGTCAGCAGCAGGTTCTTCAGGGGTCTCCATAGCTTGCTCTGCAGACTTTGCTCTTGAGGCTGGGTGTCTTTTCGAAGTTGCATGTAGACTGGGCAGGTCTGCAGAATGTGCTCAGATGTTTGTGGTCGTGTTTGACAGGCACATTGTGGGGACTGTACAATCTTTATTTAAAGCGTGTGGAAGTTGAGCCTGCAGTGTCTTGTTCATTGATGGAAATTACAAGATTGCGTTATTTCTTCCCCTTATTGTAGAAGACCGATAGCCAAAAGAATATTTGTATATTTTTCAATTATTTTTGTTTTTAAACAGCCACATCAGAATGGAGTTTAGGAGTGCAAATCAGTGGAAATCCTGATGCCTTTGTTCGACTTCCAGGTTACTGTGACCTCAAGATAATGATTCAGATGGTCGGCATGGTGACCCATTTGATCATCCGACCTGTCAGCAAAGCTGAGATAACAGCCAAAGAAATCCGCAGTCGGATCATGGATCGCGGCGAAGTTAAAGTTGTGGTGCAGGAGACAGAGAATTATCCAAACAAGCGTTTTTCACAAGACTCAAAGATTGATTCCAGTGTCGATCCATCTTCTTCGGAATCAGCCGTTGCTTCTGAGAGTTTTAAGGATACGTCATCGGTATCCTCTGAATCTTCAGTGTCGTCACTGGTATTCACAACATCCACTTTGCCTACTCAAGGAGCTGCCATCACATCCTCATCTGCCAAACTGGCAGCAAAAAAGAAACTGTCATCAACATTTACCAGATTTTCGGAAAAAGATAAGTCTAGGAGAAATCAAGAACAGTCCAGAAAAGTCAGTTTTACTTTCGGAGTACTCTGCAGTTCTTTTACACTCATGCTTCAGGATGAGTCACATGCAGACTTTGTCTCTGATTTAGTGTCTGTCCATTTGAAGGATCTGTTTTTTGCAGCCTACCCTGTGTCCCAGGGGCCTGACCAGTTGGGCACTGAAACTTGCTTTTCCATGAGTGTGGGTTCAGCCCAGATTGACAATCAGCAGTACGGTATTGGAGCATTTGATTTTCCAGTCATTTTGTTGCCTCAGAAAGTGAAAGATTCCAGTAAAAATACCATTCCACTGCAGAGTTTGATGAATCTGTCTGTCATTGAGCTTCATGCAGTAATGAAACTGAAGGCATTTCTGCATGTTCAGGTTGTAACCTTGACTGATACAATTTGGGGTCAGTCAGGGATTGAGATGGTTGATATCTCCATGAAGCCTGTCTCTCTCTATGTTGAGGACACATTCATTTATCGTTTAGTTGAAGAACTTGAGGCTTTCATCCCAGACAGGGCCTCAACAGTTTCTGATGCTGCCACAAGAGTTCCAGGAGTGCTCAACAGAAAACTGCCAGCTGTTGTTAAAGTGAACAGTTACACACTCAGCCATCCAATCAGAGTGAAGCTGATGATGATTCAGCCAATCAAAATACTTCTGAGTGTGCATGCCTCTTTGAAGTTATTTTTAGCGTCGGATCACACGCCTTTAAGCATGTCAAAGTTTGAGAGAGGGAATGTCTACTCAACTTTACATCGGATCGCTCACACTCTTACTGTACATTACGCTTCTGCTGCAGTCTTCAGGGCTGGTAAGTTGTCATTTTATCTCGTTAACTTTTAAATATCGGAACTCTCTTCTGCAGTTCAACTTCCAGTGAAGCATACGCCTCAACTATTTCAATCCCATAAGGTTTTGTACAAAAATCAGTATTGTTTTCCTTAAATATTCCCGTGAAAGTTCTCACCATTTGCTACATCTCTGGCAAAAACAGCTCTCCAGTGGACAGCAGATGGGAAAAGGAGACGTGGACGACCTAAGGAAACCTGGAGAAGGACAGTAGAACGGAAAATGAAGGAATGTAAACTGACATGGGATACCAGGGGCAGACAAGCAGCAGACAGGCAGCAGTGGAGATCACTTGTGAATGTCTTATGTGTCAGCAGCGACATGAAGAGGATATAGGTGAAAATTCCAACCACTTGCTACATTGTAAGAATGACAAATTAATGGAAGATACCTCTGTGGTTGCATGATTTATTTAGTATATTGCCGTTGCTGGTTGTACTTATCCTTTTTTTTTTCAGTGGAGGGGTGGGGGAGGTCTTCGAACCTGAGGATTTAGTGACACATGGCTAGTGCTGTCGCCACAGACTGCAGGCATGTTAGGATTCTATTTTTGCCCATGGCAGACAAAAATGTGCATCATCACTGAGGATTCAGACCCAGGTCTCTAGCGTGAGAGTCCTGCATTTGTAATTGTTCGGTCAGCTGCTCCTCAATTTACTTAGTAAAAATTGAACAAAACTGAAATATAAGAAGAACACTTGATGTGATGTTTGGAACATGTTGGGAATAGTCAGCGACTCAGCATGTGATGTTTGGAACATGTTGGGAATAGTCAGCGACTCAGCATGTGATGTTTGGAACATGTTGGGAATAGTCAGCGACTCAGCATGTGATGTTTGGAACATGTTGGGAATAGTCAGCGACTCAGCATGTGATGTTTGGAACATGTTGGGAATAGTCAGCGACTCAGCATGTGATGTTTGGAACATGTTGGGAATAGTCAGCATGCGTTATTTCAGTCTGCAAGAGTTAACCTGATGACAACATGACCTTTGCAGATTTGATCTCGACTTAACTTGCTTTGCGAAAAAATTAAAAGACAGTGTGCTGCACCAGGTGCTGAACCACACAGTGCACTGCACCAGGTGCTGAACCACACAGTGCACTGCACCAGGTGCTGAACCACACAGTGCACTGCACCAGGTGCTGAACCACACAGTGCACTGCACCAAAACCTAGTGCTAATACTGGCCAGGACCTGTCTCTGCACCACTGGCTTCATCCTAGAAACTGGTTTCCTAACCAGGAGCCTGGCCAACATAGAAGGCATCTGAGGCTGAGTGGACTCGAGGTATAGTGTCCGCCTCAAGTGCTGAAGGTCCCGGATGTAAGCCCCAGGGGATGGCTGGGATTTTTTCACGTGGACTTCTAGTAATTTTCCCTTCCCTGGTCTCTGGGTAGTCAGACCAGACACCCATGTGTATTCTATTCTTGCGCACATAAAAAATTCCTTTACAGTTGGAAATCGAAAAGAGTAGGCTAACGACACTGCCTGGGCAAAATTTGGAGTTTAAAAATCTACCCAAAGTATTCCAGGATCCTCACTGGTGCTACGGAGTTCGAGCACTGTGCTGAGATTCTTCAGACTCAGGCTTGAGTTAGAAGTAGAACAGAGCACTTACGGGTTACACCCATGTGCTATGATGTTGATCCGTCCGAGAAACATAAACAGAAAGAAAGCTTCAACACCTCCTTCAAAATCTGAGTGCATTTGCATGAGAGGTGAAAAACCAGCAGTCTGCACACACATACGCCAGATTTGTAAAATGGATATGCTCACAGCACTCAAATTCTGGAACATATTGAAAGTCAAGAAGTGGACGAACAACCAGGACTTTCGACAACAATTTTCATCCAACGAAACGCTAAGAAAAAGAAGAAAAAGAAACATCAAATAAAATTTTGTATTAGATGCTTTTTGAACAGATCTGATAACAGATCTTGCCCGTGTGGGTTCCAGGGCCTCATCTTGGGGAGGAGGAGGGTGGGGTAGGGAAGAATAGACCCACTGCCTCCCTAATAAGGATTTCGTAAGTCAAATAATGAGGTGTTTCTTTCAGAGTTGGAGTGTGTCTGCCTGCCTGAGAGGCAAGGAATCAACAGTCTGCATTCAAATAAGCCAGATCTGTAAAACAGATGTGCATGCAAAATTCAAAGTTCCTAAACCCGTCTAAGGCCAGGAAATGTATGAACAACCAGAACTGTCAGTCAGAGTTTATAGCCGGTGAACACAAAGAAAAAGAAGAAGAAGAAGAAGAAGAAGAAGATGTAACTGAACTATGTTATGTTACTATGTTAGATGTTATGTTACTGTTAAATATAATTGTGTGTGTTGCCATTGCAATGACTTCTGCCAAATCTTGGTGTCATCCACCCAGGAATTGTCGTTGGATCCCTGGAAATACTTGGCAATCCTACTGGACTTGTTAGAAGCATTGGAACCGGTGTTTCTGACTTTATCAGTCTTCCATACTCTGGGCTAACTCGTGGGCCAGGGGCCTTTGTTTCTGGATTAACCATGGGCTTTGGCAGTTTGGTGAAAAATGTGTCTGCTGGTATGCCATAGTTTTGTATCTAGTTTTCAGATTAGTATTTACAGCTCAGATTAGTTAGTGATTAGGCAAGTTTATGTCGGTTGCTCAGAGAAGGTAAAACATCTTATGCTTGGATAAGTTATACATCTGATACTTAGACAAGGTATGGTCTTCCGGTTAAAATGGACGCTAGACAGCGGCGCTGTTCGGAGCAGAGGCAAATTTTTTGCTTCTGCCGGACGGTGGCCGAAGTATTTTTGCTCCATTTGTAGACTGGATATAGTTTCGTCGCCCAGCTTCTGAGTTGAATGCATGGCGTGACCCTGTGAGCTGCGGATTGCATTTGGAATGTCTTTTTTCGACTGTGACCAACGTGGTGTGAATTGTAGATTCAGAAAATGGCGCGATGCCTGTCGTGCAATGCTGGCGGGGCCCGTATTAAAATTGATTGCGCGGGCAACTGCTGATTTGTTGGCGACAAGCTCTGCTATTATCAATGATGAACTGCATTTCTAATGTTGGACTGTTTGTGTTAGCACTTCGGATGGCTACCATATGCTTTAATGCGAGTGTATGCTAGATATGCTGAGACAGCAGTCTGTCAATTTTTCCACAAGGGACTGTGATAGACATTCTGAGTGTTTTTCGCTGGCACAGGAGCGGAGCAAAGATGGGGCGACCCGTTTGCTATGAAGCTGAAACTAAGACTACCAGACTACCAGACAAGGTGTTCATCTAGTGAACAGATAATTTGTATCTCTAGCTGTCAGATAACATAGGACTCAGATAATTTATTCATCTAGTGTTGAGATCCATCTGGTTCTCAAACATGTATCATCTAGTTCCCAAACTTGTATCATCTGGTTCCCAAACCTGCACCATCTAGTTCCCAAACCTGCACCATCCAGTTCCCAAACCTGCACCATCCAGTTCTCAAACATGCACCATCCAGTTCCCAAACATGCACCATCTATTTCCTAACATATATCATCTAGTTCTCAAACACGCATTACCTGGCTCCCAAACATGTATCATCTAGTTTCTAAACTTGTATCATCTGGTTCCAAAACCTGCACCATCTAGTTCCCAAACCTGCACCATCCAGTTCCCAAACATGCACCATCTAGTTCTCAAACATGCACCGTCTAGTTCCTAACATATGTCATCTAGTTCCCAAACATGCACCATCTAGTCTTCAAACATTCATTACCTGGCTCCCAAACATGTATCATCTAGTTCCCAAACTTGTATCATCTGGTTCCCAAACCTGCAACATCTAGTTCCCAAACCTGCACCATCTAGTTCCCAAACATGCACCATCCATTTCTCAAACATGCACCATCTAGTTCTCAAACATGCATTACATAGCTTCCAAACATGTATTATCTAGTTCCAAACTTGCACCATCTGGTTCTCAAACCTGCACTATCTAGTTTTCAAACATGCACCATCTAGTTCCCAAACCTGCAACATCTAGTTCCCAAACCTGCAACATCTAGTTCCCAAGCCTGCAACATCTAGTTCCCAAGCCTGCAACATCTAGTTCCCAAGCCTGCAACATCTAGTTCCCAAGCCTGCAACATCTAGTTCCCAAGCCTGCAACATCTAGTTCCCAAGCCTGCAACATCTAGTTCCCAAACCTGCAACATCTAGTTCCCAAGCCTGCAACATCTAGTTCCCAAGCCTGCAACATCTAGTTCCCAAGCCTGCAACATCTAGTTCCCAAACCTGCAACATCTAGTTCCCAAACCTGCAACATCTAGTTCCCACGCCTGCAACATCTAGTTCCCAAACCTGCAACATCTAGTTCCCAAGCCTGCAACATCTAGTTCCCAAGCCTGCAACATCTAGTTCCCAAGCCTGCACTATCTAGTTCTCAAACATGCACCATCTAGTTACCAAACCTGCAACATCTAATTCCCAAGCCTGCACCATCTAGTTCCCTAGCCTGCACCATCCAGTTCTCAAACATGCATAATATAGTTCCCAACATGTATCATCCAGTTCTCAAACATGCACCATCTAGTTTTCAAGCTCACACCATCTAGTTCTTAGTTGCGCATGACCTAGTTCTCAGACATGCATCATTCATTTTCAAACACACCATACATATCTAGTTTCTAAACAGTCACACCTAGTTTCCAAACACTTACTGTTTAGCTGTCAAACATACATCAAATTATTCTCAAACAAAAATCACCTAATCAAATTCTTGATAGGGATCACTAAATTTGCCAAATGACTTATTGGGTCTTTAACGATATCAATGCCATTTCCTTACAGGTATGATCACCTCAGTGACAAACTTTGCCTCCAGTGTGTCTCGCAACATGGACCGCCTGTCCTTTGACTCCACACACCTGGAGAGACAAGAAGAGAACAGGCGCAACCGACCAGTGGGAGTCTCGGACGGGCTGAAGCAAGGCCTCACTGGTTTCGGGATTAGCTTGTTAGGTAAATATTTTCCTGGACAGTGAAACAGCAACTAGAAAATCATACACTGCCTCCGAAGATATGGGTTTCCTGAAGATATGGGTTTCCTGAAGATATGGGTTTTCTGAAGATATGGGTTTCCTGAAGATATGGGTTTCCTGAAGATATGGGTTTCCTGAAGATATGGGTTTTCTGAAGATATGGGTTTCCTGAAGATATGGGTTTCCTGAAGATATGGGTTTCCAGACAAATAATTTATATTTCGTGGCTACAAAAAATAATCAAGGTATAGAGCAGCGGTTCTCAACCTACCTAATTCAGCGACCCTTGAATACAGTTCCTCATGTTGTGGCGACCCTTTAATACAGTTCCTCAGGTTGTTGCAACCCTTTAATACAGTTCCTCAGGTTGTTGCAACCCTTTAATACAGTTCCTCATGTTGTGGCGACCTTTTAATACAGTTCCTCATGTTGTCGCAACCCTTTAATACAGTTCCTCATGTTGTGGCGACCCTTTAATACAGTTCCTCATGTTGTGGCGACCCTTTAATACAGTTCCTCATGTTGTGGCAACCCTTTAATACAGTTCCTCATGTTGTGGCGACCCTTTAATACATTTCCTCATGTTGTCGCAACCCTTTAATACAGTTCCTCATGTTGTCGCAACCCTTTAATACAGTTCCTCATGTTGTCGCAACCCTTTAACTCTACCAGACCTGAGGCCCTGAACCTGACTGTCCCCTATACCTGAGCTCCTAGGCATTAACACGAAAAAACCAACATTATATACAAAAATATTAGTTACATGCAAACAAGTGGTTAGAGTAAGATTAAACTTGGAGACATTGTAGAAAATAGGTTTACCTTTCATCTAGCGCCAATATTCCACCTTTGTGTGCCAAACCACTCAGCAGGATGAGCCTTGTTTCACAAAGTGAGCACCAGATGTTGCTGTTTGAGGGACACACCCCCTTCTCTTACTGCCAATTAGTTCTAGATCTGTAAGGTTCAAGATTCTCCTCATTACTTGAGCTCTCACTGGCTGTATCACTTAAATGGGAACCTATTCTTCATTAAATTCTGACTCCTCAGAGTCTGAATCAACCAAAGTATCAATCACCTGTTGGACTGAAAAGCCTAGACCTACTTCAGTTTTCTGTCGAGGTGCTTGGTTCATCAGCCGCTCATTTCATTGTGAATTTTCATAATTTTTCACATTAAACCACACAAAGTAAATCCAAACACATGAAGGAAGCTATTCGCAGTGACTAGCCACGAGATTTGATCACGATTGGTTGGTTATTTTTAGTTTTGGCTCGTTTTATCATGTAGTATGCAAAGTACCAAAAATTAGGTACAGCTGTTTAGCGGCAGATTAGGAAATTAGGGGAAAAGCTGTATTATTTCCATGTCTGAAATTCTATGTTACTGTCAGTAATTCCATGTCAGTATTTCTGTGTCATTATTTCTATGTCACTGTCAGTTATTCAATTACATTATTTCCATGTCAGTATTTCTCTGTCACTGTCAGTAATTCCATGACATTATTTCCATGTCAGTAATTGTATGTCACTGTCAGTAATTCCATGACATTATTTCCATGTCAGTAATTGTATGTCACTGTCAGTAATTCCATGACATTATTTCCATGTCAGTATTTGTATGTCACTGTCAGTAATTCCATGACATTATTTCCATGTCAGTATTTGTATGTCACTGTCAGTAATTCCATGACATTATTTCCATGTCAGTATTTGTATGTCACTGTCAGTAATTCCATGACATTATTTCCATGTCAGTATTTGTATGTCACTGTCAGTAATTCCATGACATTATTTCCATGTCAGTATTTGTATGTCACTGTCAGTAATTCTGTGTCATTATTTCCATGTCAGTATTTCTATTTCAATGTCAGTAATTCCATGTTTGTTATTTCCATGTCAGTATTTCTATTTCACTGTCAGTAATTCCATGACATTATTTCCATGTCAGTATTTCTATTTCACTGTCAGTAATTCCATGACATTATTTCCATGTCAGTATTTCTATTTCACTGTCAGTAATTCCATGTTGTTATTTCCATGTCAGTATTTCTATGTTACTGTCAGTAATTCCTGTCATTATTTCCATGTCAGTATTTCTATGTCATTGTCAGTAATTCCTGTCATTATTTCTATGTCAGTATTTGTATGTCATTGTCAGTAATTCCTGTCATTATTTCTATGTCAGTATTTGTATGTCATTGTCAGTAATTCCTGTCATTATTTCTATGTCAGTATTTCTCTGTCACTGTCAGTAATTCCATGTCTCATTATTTTTGTGTCACTGTCAGTAATTCCATGTCATTATTTCCATGTCAGTATTTCTATTTCACTGTCAGTAATTCCATGTTGTTATTTCCGTGTCAGTATTTCTATGTTACTGTCAGTAATTCCTGTCATTATTTCCATGTCAGTATTTCTATGTCATTGTCTGTAATTCCTGTCATTATTTCTATGTCAGTATTTCTCTGTCACTGTCAGTAATTCCATGTCTCATTATTTTTGTGTCACTGTCAGTAATTCCATGTCATTATTTCCATGTCAGTATTTCTATTTCACTGTCAGTAATTCCATGTTGTTATTTCCGTGTCAGTATTTCTATGTTACTGTCAGTAATTCCTGTCATTATTTCCATGTCAGTATTTCTATGTCATTGTCTGTAATTCCTGTCATTATTTCCAAGTCAGTATTTTTATGTTCCTGTCATTATTTCCATGTCAGTATTTGTATGTCATTGTCAGTAATTCCATGTCATTATTTCCATGTCACTATCAGTATCTCTGTAATGACGCATACAATATTAGCAAAATGTATCATGATGAGAGCAGTGTTGTATTTTGCTGACATCTTTTCCCCTCAGGTGCCGTTGCCGGCCTGGCTGACCAGCCTATCCAAACACTGCTGGCTTCAGAGAGTCAGGACAAGCCCAGGGCTTCAGCTTCTTCAACAGCCTCAGGGTTGGTAACTGGAGTCGGGAAGGGTTTGGTCGGAATATTCACAAAACCCATTGGTGGCGCAGCTGAGTTTGTGTCTCAGACTGGACAGGGTAAGGGACTGTTATATGTGAGAAGTGATCTATGTGTTCTTGGGGTCAGTAGATGACTTAAGAAGCCATCCATGTGTTTTTATGGTCATTAGCTGAAGTTAGAACTGATTCTTGTGTTCTTTGGGTCATTGGCTGAAGTAAGAAGTCATCCATATGTTTTGGGGCTCTTAGCTGAAATAAGAAGCCATCCATGTTTTTTTTTTTTGGGTCCTTTGCTGAAGTAAGATGCCATCCATACTTTCTTGGAGTCCTTAGCTGAAGTTTAAAGCGATCCATGTGTTCTTGGAGTCCTTAGCTGAAGTTTAAAGCAATCCATGTGTTCTTGGTTCCCTTAGCTGAAGTAAGAAGCTGTCCATGTTTTTTTTGGGGGGGGGGGGGGGTCCTTAGCCGAAGTAAGAAGCCATCCATACTTTCTTGGAGTCCTTAGCTGAAGTTTAAAGCGATCCATGTGTTCTTGGGGTCCTTAGCTGAAGTTAGAAGCCATCCATATGTTTTTGGGGGTCCTTAGCTGAAGTTAGAAGCCATCCATTTGTTTTGGGGGGTTCTTAGCTAAAGTTAGAAGCCCTCCATGTGTTTATGGGGGTTCTAAAGCTGAAGTAAGATGCCATCCACGTCTTTTTGGAGTCTTTTAACCTTTTCAGGAGCAGAGGATTTACAGTAATACACAGTATTTAGACATTACAGGGCCCGTTTCATTCCATTAGCTCAATGGGCACACAGTGCTCTAAGTAAGTAAAATAAAGGACCTCTTTTTCTGCCGAAATAACCCCGGCAGAAATTAACAGCTCAGAGCCAGAGAAAAAAGAACACGACAGCTCAGAGCCAGAGAAAGAAGAACACGACAGCTCAGAGCCAGAGAAAGAAGAACACGACAGCTCAGAGCCAGAGAAAGAAGAACACGACAGCTCAGAGCCAGAGAAAGAAGAACACGACAGCTCAGAGCCAGAGAAAGAAGAACACGACAGCCTTCTGAAGAGACACAAAACAGCAGACCAAGAACACAGCAGGCACACTCTTTATCATGGCTTCCAGGCAACCTCCTGCCCCTCAGCAGCGTGGAAATCTCAACAGCTGCAGCCCAGAGGACACAGGTGGCATGCAAGGGCAAGAACACCCAGGGATAACTATAGGCCACACAAAAAAAAGAAACAAGAAACACCACAAAGACCAAGTATAGCTGAAGATTACATAGAAGCAGGTTGAACATGGTCTACTTTTTCCTTTACAGAATAAACTGACCCCCTTCCAGCGCACCTCCTTCACCCTCCCCCCCCCCCCCACTTCTACTGCTATCCCCCTTCCCTTTTTTTTTAAATCTGGGGGCTTATTATGCTAGACTCATATATTTAGTAGACTAGTAGGTACTTGGTCAGTGATATGGTCAGCATCACATCAGTCACTTTTGCTTCCCAGAATATTGCCTCTAACACATTTGAGGCTGGATCAACCAGCGATACAAGGTCATTTTCAAAACAAATCTGTGACGTGATGCAGGCTCAAACCTAGGACCTTTGCGCTGTTAGGCAAAATCTAGCGACTCCCATTGGTGCAATACCTATTCTCAAAATGGCTTAACACTTTCATTCCCGATTAGTTCTCACAGCAGATGTCAAAGGGAGTGCCTAGCTTCTGTGAAAAGTCACAGATTTATAACTTTCAAATGATCAAATTATGACACCAAAGTGGCCAGTGGGGAAGCTAAAAAACTTTAAGCTGTGAACAATAATGTGTTGTTCATCCATCACGAGTGATGAAGACCACTTTTCATCCAAAGTAGTAATGATCAGTGATTATGAGTACGAAGGTGGCTGATAAGTTCAGGATGAGCCCGGAAACTTTTTGAGCAGTGCGGACAACAGCAATAAGTACAGTTCCTTCTAGTCTGCCTCCGTTTCTCTGCCTGTGCAACCTCTGCTGCCTGGCAGGCCGATGCAC